AAAAAAAAAAAAAAAAAAAAAAAAAAAAAAAAAGCAGAGCAATACACAAGATCCAACTCACTACTTTCAAACTATAAGCAACATAACCAGTGATGAGCCGAATTTCACATAAGCCCATAACCCTAGTTTATTCTAAATGGGTCGAAACTTGCGGAGGGAGGGTAGGCCCACTTATTGTCGGAGGACGTTAACTTTGAAGGATATCACGTCGAAGGGTATTATGGTCAATTACGAATACTATTAACACGTTGGTTAATTTGATTCATCGTCTCTCTTCTCTTTAGTGCTATAAAAATCATTTTGGACTGTGATTTACGTTCCATTATAGAGTAAAACGACGACGATGGAGGAGCCAACGACGGAGATAGAGACTAAACCCGCGGATCTGACAACTACGACGCTGCAACCTCCTCCTCGAACAGCGTCACCTCATCAGGAGCTAGTGGAGAGGCTCAAGGATTACGGGCAGGAAGATGTTTTCGCCCTCTGGGAAGAGCTCTCACCGGAAGAGCGTCATCTCCTCGTCACTGAAATCGAGGTAGAATCGTATTATTTTGCATTCTCTAAAAATTGGTAGTGAGTGTTGATCGAATTTTTGATTAAGATTATTTAAGCGTCTGATCCGTTATTGTTATTTGCAGAATTTGGATCTCCCGAGAATAGATCGGATCATCAGATGCTCACTTAACTCTCAAGGTTTGCTGTTAATCAAATTGTTTCAGCCTCTTAACACACATTATATACTCCCTCGGTTTCAAATTATATGTTGTTTTAGAGTAAATTTTTCGTTTAAAAATAAGTGTGTTTTATAATTTCAATGCAAAATTTATTGATTTTAACTGTCATTCTATTTTTCATTGGTTGAAATGTGTTTATGTGTATAGGTAAATGTGTTTTTATTTTTAAAACATGTAAAATTAATTGTTTTCTTAATCTGTGTGTAAAAACCTAAAAAATAACTAAAATAAAAAGGAGGGATTATTTTTTATTCATGAGATTTGATTTTTTCACTTCATTAGGTTTGCCAGCGGCGGCAATTGAGGCGCCGCCGGAGAGTTGTGTGTCAACGGTGGAGGAAAGGAGAAAGGAAGATAAAGAAAAATGGTGGAGAATGGGGTTGAAGGCTATCTATGAAGGGAAATTGGGTGTGGTGCTTTTATCTGGTGGACAGGTATTATTTGCAGATTATTCTTTTTTTTTTGAGTCTTTGTGTTGCTTTAGAAATAAAACATTGATCTGGATTTTCTTGGATTAGTTCTAAGTAAAGTAAAAGATTGGTGAGTAGATGTTAATGATTGTTGGATTATGGTTGGAATGGGACATTAGGGCTGAAATGATGTTGGAATGATGCTTGCTACCTACTTAATAATTGATATAGATGGGGTCTGACTTTATATGAGTAATTATGAGTGCTTTAAAGAAAATCTTACCCCGTCGGTGCCTTCTTCTGGATATGTTAAGAGCACCTAATCATGAAAAAGAAGGGTTATCACGTGGCCTGAAAGATTACTTTATAGGATCCTGTAGTCTTCTTTTCCCGTTTACATTGTTTTCATTTACTTTAGCATTTAATGTACATTGGGAATATACTTCTGTGGATATTCGTATGGGAGTGTCTGTCATCCATCACTTGAATTGTGTGATTTGGCCAATTGAACGTTTTAGTAGATTTTGATTGCCTCCTCAATGTAGTGTTTGTTAGTACGTCCGTCGGAATAATGTTCTTATGAAATGATCTGGTTATAAAAATAATTGCAGGGAACAAGACTTGGAAGTTCAGATCCCAAAGGGTGTTTTAGTGAGTAGTTCTCATTTCAGTTGTGTTTTGCTGTCCATCTTCTATACACAGTTGAAAATTGGCTTTGCAAGCTCAGCTTCTCCAGTTTTACTGTTTCCGGTATCTATTATTACCTTACCATAGTAGTTTTATCATCTTAGATATCGGACTGCCATCTGGGAAGTCACTTTTCCAGATTCAAGCTGAGAGGATCTTATGTGTCCAAAGGCTTGCTGCTCAGGCAATGAGTGAGGGTAAAGTTCACAACTCTGCCATTCCATGTATCCGCACAAACTATACCATTTTTGATACCTTGTTTCACGCGACATATTTGCTGCAGCAGGTCCAACTCGCCCAGTTGCAATACAGTGGTATATAATGACCAGTCCATTTACACACGAACCAACACAAAAATTCTTCGAGAGTCACAAGTATTTTGGCCTTGAGCCACATCAAGTAAGAGGGTTCTTAATCGTATTGTTTTCGTTTATGTCTATCCTTTCCTCTTTTTGTGCATAAACTAATATCGATCCACTCCCTACAGGTCACATTTTTCCAACAAGGAACCCTACCTTGCATTACCAAGGATGGAAAGTTTATCATGGAGACACCTTTCAGTGTATGTGTAAACAAGCTACTTACACGCTGGCTCTTGATGTTCATAGTCAGTTTCTTTATACCCTTCAGACTTTGGCCTTATGAGTTTCAATTCTTTGTGACTAGCTAGCCAAGGCTCCAGATGGTAACGGGGGAGTTTATACAGGTAGGTATCCTCTAGTTCTTCTGCACTAGTTATCGGAAATAGTATTTGCAAAATTTTCCGATTCTGATCAAAAACATTATATATGTTGATTCAGCACTACAATCTTCAAGGTTATTAGAAGATATGGCTTCCAGGGGGATCAAGTATGTGGATTGCTATGGTGTTGACAATGTTCTGGTATCCCTTTCAGTGCTTTCAAATCTTTATTCGAGTACTTTGTCAATTTTTCTAGGCTATTGGAATAATAAATGGCAATCTTGGAAAACAGGTTCGAGTAGCTGACCCTACTTTTCTAGGATACTTCATCGACAAAGGTGCAGCTTCTGCTGCAAAAGTAGTGCGCAAGGTATTCATATACCTTTCTAATTCATTGGTTCAATGTCCTAGATCAGATTTTCACCTTCGTACATTTAGTTTATTTGAAGACAAATCAAATTCAAGTCCCAAGAAGTTTTTTTTGCTATGAAAACAGGCATATCCACAAGAAAAGGTTGGAGTATTTGTAAGGAGGGGAAAAGGTGGGCCTCTGACCGTGGTTGAGTACACAGAGCTTGATGAGTCCATGGCTTCTGCAACTAATCAACAAACAGGACGTCTTCAATTTTGCTGGAGTAACGTAAACTTCTCCCTCTTTACATGCTTTTGAAGTTATGCTAAGTTAGTTTTTAAGACATAATTGCTAGTAATTGCCCCATTTTATGCATTGGTTATTTCAAAAAAAAAAAACTGCAAGGAAGGACAGTGAGTGTTGTTATGGAAGTGGAATGTGTTTAAGCTCCTAATGGAAGTCGAAAACGATGTTTACCTTTCAGGTGTGCTTACACATGTTCACTCTGGATTTCCTTAATCAAGTTGCGAACGGGCTAGAGAAAGACAGCATGTGAGATATGGTTTTACTATAATGGTATCCTGCAATAAGAAAACATTTGACATATTCCTAATAACAAAAACTCTTGCAGATACCATGTGGCAGAGAAGAAGATACCGTCTATAAATGGTGTCATAGAGGGAGTGAAACTAGAACAGTTCATATTTGACTGCTTTCCGTATGCTCCTTCAACTGCACTCTTTGAGGTAAAGTTCTGTTCGATCTAATGAAAACCATCAAAACAGATATATTTACTTTCAATAGTAAAAGATCGGTTTTCTTGTCTTTGCAGGTGTTGAGGGAGGAAGAATTTGCGCCTGTAAAAAATGCAAACGGGTCGAGCTTTGACACGCCAGAAAGCGCGAAACTTCTGGTTCTACGGCTACACACACGTTGGGTCATAGCAGCTGGTGGATTCTTAACACATTCCGTACCTTTATATGCAACTGGTAATAGATCTATCATCTATCCAACGCCTATTTTTCATCACTATGGTATTAATGATCATAGCTTAAATAGGTGTGGAAGTTTCACCATTGTGCTCGTACGCGGGAGAAAACCTGGAAGCGATTTGTCGGGGAAGAACGTTTCACGCACCTTGTGAGATCTCCCTCTAACCTTCTTCTGTTTCGTCTTATTTGGCCATCTTCTTTGTTTTTTTTTTGTATGTTTCTCTTTTCTTTCCTCTTGTTGTTGTTGAGATTGTTGTGGTATGTAATGGATGTGTTATTATTGCAAAACTAACATTAGTTAAGCCTTTTTTCAAAGAAAACTTGCCATTCAACAAAAAAGAACTCTGCATTACTGACCGTGACTCGACGATATAGGATTCGTGTTAACTCGGTTTAAGTACTTAATAGCTTCTTGAATTTGTGTCCTAGCAAGTACCCATCTTGAACTTGAACGTCTTGAAAATTTGTGTTAAGTAGCCTATAACCAAGTCTCGAATTTAGCGGGAAATGAAGTAACAAAAACCTGACACTCAATATTTTGTATATAACATTATAACATAGAAGAATCAAGAATGAATGACTATAGTCAGTACTAACTGGTAAAAAGATAATGAAAATGATAAATCTATAAGACCACGCGTATCAGTTAGTCTTCAGACGTATCAAATGAATGTATAAAGAAGCAATTCAAACAGCTCATAACTCATCTTCTACCGCTTCTGAAGTCATGTTCTTGATCTTCCTCATTTTATTGCTAAGACCTGTTACAACCCAATCAAGAGCTTCAAACTGAGGATGAGACAAGTCTCCAACTACAAAAGCATGCCACTGAAACCCGACCTGAATCCAACTGCAACCAGGCTGTTTCTTCAACCCTCTCTCCTTCAGCTTCATCCTCATCTCTGCAGCTTCCTTACTTCTTCCACTCCGTTTATACATATTAGACATCATTACATAGGTCCCAGCATCATCCGACCCTGTTTCCAAAACCTTCTTCACAACCTCTGTAGCAATACTCACTTCACCGTGGACATTACAAGCGGACAAAACCGCTCCATAGACTGAACCTGATGGCTTAGCGTCGACACTGTTGATGAACTTAAACACATCTTTCAATCTACCAGCTCGACCACAGAGATCCACGAGAGTGGTATAGTGATCTTCTCGCACAGAGAGTGACTTGTCTCTCACAAGCTCATCAAAGAACTCCATTCCTTTATCTACAAAACCGGCGTGGCTGCAAGCAGATAACAAGTTAAGATACGTCACTTCACTGGCTTTGAACCCGTGTCTCCGCATCTGATCATACATTTCAATAGCTTCTTTCCCACGTCCGTGGTGTGCATAGACCGCAATCATACTGTTCCACGATATCAAATCCCTTTGGCTTACCATCCCGGAATTGAAAATCTTCCTCGCAGCTACCAGCTCACCGCATTTTGAGTACATGTTTATAAGCGCTGAAGTCACAATCTCGTTCTTCTGGTGGACCGACTTAGATATCAACTGATGAATCTGCTGCCCTTCCACAAGCCCAGCCATGTCACTACACGCGCTTAAAACGCTCACATAAGTTCCCACGTTAGGCTTAACACAACCATCCCTCAACATACTAGAGAAAACTTTCAACGCATATTCGTTTTCTTTACTCTGGACGTATCCTGTAATCATCGTGGTCCAGGTTATAACATTCTTTTCAGGCATCCGTTCAAACAAAACACACGCCTTGTCTACTTCCCCGTTCCTTATAAACCCTGTGATCATCGTATTCCAAGAAGCAAAGTCTCTCTCCGGCATCACTTGAAACAATTGATCAGCTTCCTCTATCCTATCGTTATGTGCATAACCAGTGATCATCGCGTTCCACGAAACAATGTTTCTCTCAGGCATACAATCAAAAACCCGTCTCGCTTCATCAACCTTACCGTTCTTAGCCAATCCATCCACAACAGCAGTCCATGACATGACATCCCTCACAGGCATTCTATCAAACAAACTCATAGCCTCTTCCACCCTCCCACGCATCACCAACCCTTTAATCATTGTATTCCAAGAAACAACGTTTCTCTCAGGCATTTCATCGAACAGTTCGAGTGCCTTGTCGATTCTCCCGCTTTGCGCATACCCATCAACCATAGTGTTCCAAGAAACGATATTTCTCTCCGGCATTGCTTGAAAAAGCATCTCAGCTGTTGAAAACTGCTTAGATTGCAAATACCCACGAACCATGGCTGTCCAAGTCACGACATTTTTCTTAGAATCGATCCTATCGAAGAGTTCTCTAGCTTCTCTCATGTTCCCTGACTTGATATACCCGTTGATTACATCCGTCCATGTGATCACATCTCTCTCAGGTAATACGTCGAACACCTTGCGTGCTTCTGTGATTTTACCTTCTTTGCAGAGACTCGAGATCAGCCATTCGGGTCTTGCCACGTTCGACTTTGGGATGTATCGTTCCGTTCTGGGTCTTGGCGTTCGGGTATAGCTGGAAGAAGAGCTAATAGAGCGTGTCCGATTTGGTAGTTGTTTGGATCTAACATGGTCTGAAAGGGGCAAAACCGATGCTTTTCTTAGCCGCGACCATGCGCGAGATTGCATCAGCTCTATATACTGATGAGAAAGACGGCGGCTCTTTCACAAAGGTATTATAATCATCGAGTTCAAAAAATCATCCGAGGAGGACGATTCTCGAGAGATATAATGATACTCCCTCCATTTCATATTATTGTCGATATAAAGAAAATTTTCCATAATTTTTGGTTTTCAGTACAAAATTAATTAATTTTATTCCATAGTTTATTTTTCTTTTGGTCCAAATGAAATTAATTATGTTTTTATATAAAAATATATAAATTAATTGTTTTCTGTGTGTCAAAATCTAAAATAACATTTATTATGAAATAAAAAGAGTAATAATCTATTTTAAATAGTTTATTTATCTTATGATTTGGTAAGAGTTACGACCATTTATTAATGTTGGTTATGTAGGCGTGGTCCTTTCTGTTATAAAGATCCGGCAAGGCCATTTAGTAATGTTGGTTCTGATGATGACCACACACTGTGTGATTCAGTTTCAGATCTCACACCAAAAGACTGACAATGGAGCAGAGTGTTGTTAATAATAATAACTAACTAAATCATCATAAATAAAATATAGAACGGTACACAGTTAAATGTAAAGATGATGATGCAGTTAGTTTCTAATAAGCGTTAGGTCCTCTCATGTAGTCCATATTAACCCAACAAAGAGGTCATGCACCCACCTTATTTCCCTATTTAAGAAGAAATGAAAATTGGGAAATCGAACTCTTGCAAGGAACAACTTGATTTAAAACAAGCTCGTTTGGGTTGATTCTACACACACACAAAACAGTATGGACTTGTTGATGCATTTGGTGGAGTTAAAAAAGAAAAAGCTCAAGCATAAGGAGATTGACCAAGAAGTGGTTCCAAGTCACTCAATTGTTGCCTCAAGAAGTTGTACACTGACTCTGTGGAATCCGAAGCTATTCGAATCACTACTCCTTTTCCCTGCAAATATATTCACACCAAGTTTCAATCACTGAGCCTAGCGGTAATAGCCACTTATGCCTTCTCTCCAATCTCACCAGTTAATATATGGTTTCTTGATGGATAGAAGAAATAAGATTTAAGGATTTAGACACCTGAGAAAGAAACTATGATACTAACCTGAGGGCCGAAAGTGCTGCAAGAAGCTATGAACTCTGGTTTCATGAAGCCATTACGAGCCCTTGAATCAGAGTTTTGTCTCCGAGAACCATAAGATATCTGCAACTGTTCAGACATCATATTCTTCACGTTCTCTTGGAATCTCTTCTGGAGTTCCCTCAGCTTTGGCCTTGATACAGATTTAGCAAAGATTCAAACTCTCTTAAGAATAATACTCACTATAAAGATATGCTCTAATGCCTTCTCTAGTACTACTACATGAAGACAGAGAGAAACTTACCCGTAGAGTATGACCATTGCTATAGCGTGATAATCTTGCATCCGCTCCGCTATGCTTTGTATGTTCCTCTTCTCTAGCAGCACCTGCAGTAAACAAACCATTACCAAAGTAAGGTCTAATCTCGGTCATCAAGAAATAGTTGTTTTAGCTGGGATTAGTAGTTACTGTGTCAAGGAATAAAGGCTTATCATCTTCCAGGTAGACATTATTGATACTTTTATAAAAATCGAAATCCCATTTTTCACCATTTGCATGACGCCCGCTTGTGATCCAGTCCACAAGGACAAGATTAGAGTCTGCAACCAATCTGAAGATCTGTTTCTGATAGTACCGAGCAGTGGAGAAGCAAGTCACTGGATCTGGAATCACAACCAAAAGAGACTCACTCCCTATTCTCGCCTACTGCACACAAAAACAAAAGAGCCAACGTGCTATATATCAAACCTAATCAGGTACAGGAATCAAAGAAAAGGGTTCCATTCTATTGCAATAACAAACTGTTGCTCTATCTGACACAATACAACTCAGATGGTTCTAGCAAAGATGTGAGCGAAACATTACTTCAAAGGTCTGTTCAGAGCATTTTGATCCTATTGCCTTGTACACCTGTATTCAAATAACAAGATCCAAGCCAAGAGAATCAAACCAAGTTAGGATGAAGTTAGTGTCTCCAGCTCAAAGAAAGAGACAGAATGTGTTGGTTTAACCTTAGTAGAAGACTGAGTTGTAAGCACTGCAGTGCAGCCATCACCAATGGTGAACTCACATGAAATCGAATCTCCCTGTAGAGCAAGAACTTGTTAGATTAACTGAAAAAGAGACAAAAGGAAAGTGAGAGAGAAAGAGGGAAGTACAGAGACGATGCCGCCTCCATAGGTGATGCTGTAAATCCAGACAACGTCCGTTCCGACAGGAGCTACCTGAAAGTTCGGTGTCGCACTTCACAGTCGAGAATTTTATAATTACTAAAACTCTGAATAAGATTCTTCAGTAATAGATAGAGAACCTTGGTAGGAAGTATGAACTTGAGAGGATACTTAGAGAAGCAACTCGTAGCCGTAGATCTTCCTCTTACCTTCTCCACCACCACTTTCCCTGTCGCCATCTCTCTCTCTCCACTGTCGTTGACTCTCTCTCTCTCTCTCCAATGTCGTTGACTCTCTAGATTTGGTTTGAGTTGATTAAATATAATACACATCCCATCAGTGTTTCTGGGTGTTGATAAAAATATAATCTTTGAGTAGAAAAAAGTCAAACTTTATTCGGAGAAACATCTCTCAAGTACTAATCATACATAAAGTAGAAAGCTTTCATATTAAAGTTACAACATTTCCTAACTCTCTTTGCTTTTGTTTGGTGGGTGTTGTTCTTGCTTAGAACCAGACACAAACTCTTTCAAAATCTCGTTGGATTCATCATCAATGGCGGAAATGTCTAACGTTGGTGAAGAGAAGAGAGACACCATACTTGTTGCAGCAATCAATGGCGTCTTGGTCTCTAATACTACCACCAGGTTCTGCTATCGCTCCTATTCCTTTCTCGCACGCCTCTTCTACCGCATCTTTCCAAGCTGCCCCATTCATACAACAACAACAAAAGTTTCAAACCTTTTCTCAAATAAAAGCATTACACTATGTTAGTGAGTGTTCAGCAATACAGATTTTGTGGCAATCCTTCTGTTTCATCTTTTAACTATTTTTTTTTGGTCAAACATCTTTTAACTATTTTTTAAACAGAAGAGTGGTCTAGGAAAGTAAATATACCGAATGGGAAGAATGCGTCACTGGCTAAGGCAGCTCCTTTGGCTTCCTCACCAGCTTTCTTGAAAGCTAGTCTCAGACTCTCTACTCGGTTTGGCTGTCCACTTCCCATCCCAAGCATACAGTTGTTCTTCACCATAACAACCCAAGAATCAGAATCATGAACGAGACAAGACGTATAGAAAGAGTAATAGAGACCAACCTTTGCTATCACGATGGCATTGCTCTTGACATGCTTAACACAAAGCCATGCAAATTTAGCATCCGCAAGTTCACTTTCAGTGGGAGTCTTGTCCGAGACAGATTTGAAACTGATGTCTTCTGGAGTTATGTCATCAGAGTCTTGAGCTAACCATCCTCCACCAACTTGTCTGAGTGATAGCTTCCCTTGGTCATTCTTTTTAGCCTCGAGGATCCTCAGAGTTTTCGATTTCCCTTTGAGTACTTCAAGACCTTTAGCAGTGTACTTTGGAGCAACCACGATTTCATAAAACATTCTAGTTTCTCCGTCTGTTGGGCTCCTGAACTCTCGTAGTTCCCTCGCAAGAACCTAGAGACAGATAACAGATTATAAGACAATTGAATACACTTACTGGACAGCAGTAATAGTTTAACTTACCTCGTCCACTTCCACATTGAAGGCTACAATACCACCAAAAGCGCTAACTGGGTCAGCTTTTACAGCTAGACGGTATGCCTCAAGGATATCATCGCGAGAGGCCACACCACAAGGATTTGTGTGCTTCACGACTACACATGTCGGGTGTTCGAATTCTGACACACAGTTCCACGCAGCGTCAGCATCAAGATAGTTGTTGTATGACATTTCCTGTTCACAAAAATTAAAAAAAAGGATTATATGGCTGAAAAGCAAGAACAAGGATTATAAATGACAGTTGAAAACTATGACCATTTGCCGATAAATCAAGCAGAACAGAAACTAAAACTACCATGCTTTCTACAGCTATGATGGGTACAAGATTTACCTTTCCGTGATGCTGAATCGCTGTGGCAATACCACCAGCGTTCACTTCAGCAAGGCTCTTGTCAACATAGAACGCAGCCTTTTGATGAGGATTTTCACCGTAACGAAGGGAACTCTTAAGTTCAAGCGGAACTGTAAAGCTGGGAGGGAACTTCTCTTCTGAGAAAGGTTGCCAGACAAGTTATCATGATTTAGAAAGAAGTTTATATTTTAATATTTCATAACAAGTGTAAGGAAAAATCACATTAAAATAGGCACATACTTCCTTCAGTCTGCTTCCATAGCCATTCTGAAACTGCGGAATCATAAGCAGCAACATGCTGAAATGCCTTCCACGCAAGTTTTCTGCGGAACTGTTGGTCGGTCTGCCCTCCTTTGAGATACTCCAAAACAGCTTGATAATCCTCTGAATCGACAACAATGAGGACATCTTTGTGGTTCTGTCCAACAACATAGATAAATATACATTCATAACCAAGAAATAAATACAAGTAACAAGTCGCATATGCATAGTATATATATATGTAATACCTTAGCAGCTGCTCTAATCATAGCAGGACCACCAATGTCGATGTTTTCAATCCCATCCTCAAAACTGATCCCACCTGGAGCAGTAACTTTCTCGTAGAACGGATACAAATTGACAACCACTACATCAAATGTACCTGTAATTCAATACATCAAAAGGATGCAATTTAGCATAAAGGAAGACACTAACTTAATCTCAACCTTAGAAAGAAAATAAAACGTAAACTCACCAATGCCATGCTCATTAAGAGCTTCCATATGATGCTCGACATCTCTTCTAGCGAGGATACCACCGTGTATATTTGGGTGCAAAGTCTTCACACGGCCATCAAGCTGCATTCCAAGAAGTAGAAAACAAGAAGAGAGCTAAGCTTAATACACCAAACTCAACTGCTTAATCTTTACGACCAGCTAAAGATTGAAACTTGCCATTTCAGGGAAATGAGTAAGCGTCTCGACTTTGGTGACAGAGACTCCAGCATTCTCCAAAGTAGAAGCAGTTCCTCCAGTAGAGACAATAGTATATCTAGAGATTATAAAAAGGAATCATTTTTCAATCCATAAACACTTAGAAGGACAGAAACATAACTTGTGAATAAGTCATACCCCAACTCTTGTAGACCGTTACCAAGAGTAGCCAAGTCCTTCTTGTCAGATAAAGATATCAAAGCTTGCTTCTTTCCTGATGAACACATGCCCCAGATTACTTTAAAAACCTTATTCTAAACAGAACATAATAAAAAAAAATCGATATCTGAAAATGAAACTGCAGGTTAACAAAAAAAAAGAAACAAACCAGAGGAGGCAGAGGACTGTGGCTGACTCTTTAGAGCTGTCTGAGACTCTGACATGGCTCTGACCGCAACGAAACTCGGACGCAGTGAGTTACAGTAGACCTGCTGCTTATAAAAAAAGACTCATTAATTTAAGTCTTTAGCAAAATTGTAAAACAGAGACACAAAAAAAAAGAACACGGCTACACAGGGAGAGGAGAGAGCTCACATGCTGAGCAAAACGGAAAGGTGCAACGGTTTTCCTGCGCAAAAAGCCGCAGAGAATATCGCCAGAGCGAGCACTCACGGAAGTGGCGGTAGCGGTGGCGGCGGAGCTGAGCATATCTGTTTTGCAACAGTTGTGAGGAGTGTGGTAGTGTTTTTAGGGTTTTTTTGCGATTTTGCGGCTAATTTGTTTCAACAAAAATTAAATAATAAGAATTCATATGGAAATATTTAATAATATTTTGGGTGGAAGTACTTATTTATCTATTTATTAATACTATGACTTTTGACAGTTACGTTACACCCGTAATCTCGCCTGGAATATTTCGAAAAAGCTTATAGTTAAGTAGAAACCAAATTTGACCCAAAAAAAAAAAAAAGTAGAAACCAAAATTCTCAACTTGTAATGTGTTACTGTCACACCAATTTTTTTTTTTTTTTTGGCAAAATAGGATCAAAACTAGATTTAGGTCAAAATTAATAAAAAAAATTACTGATAGTATTTGGCAGATATTTTTCTCAGGAGAAAATTAGAGAGAGGTTAAAGTCACTCATCGTCAAACGATAGGACTCCTCTCAGTCGTCTCCTGCTGCTTTTCATGGTAAAAAAACTTTCTACTCCTTCTTGTCACTCTCCTTCGCTTCGCTGCTGTTTTTGAACTTATTTTTGTGTAGAATCCGATTGTGTTTACGCTTAGTGTATCTTCAAATGATACTCAGATCATTCAGATTTTCACTTGTTTTTGATGCTTCATCGCCTTCTCTTTCTTGTTAGGTAGCTCGATTAACGCCTACTTTGTTTTCGTTTGAGGTTTTGATTTTGTTTTCAGCTGTCTCTCTCTATTGATCTCGGAGATAGTTAGGTGAAGTTGATCGGTTTCATTTCAGCGATTCATGCTACTTGATTGTGGCAGGTTGAATTGAGTAGTTTAAACGTAAAGAGACTAGTCACTAGTTTTAGTGTTGTAAGTATCCACTGTCCCTGCTCGTGTCGTGTTAAGTAAACCTAACTCTTCTCTCATTTCAGGCACTTCGATGAGAGCTTGAGAGAAGTCCTTTTAAAATTTTCGATATTTATACAGAGGATGCATATGCTAAGATTTGACTTGGGCTATGATCGTGATGTGTCACCTCCAAGCGTATGCGAGTGAGTGGATGAACTAGAAAGGTTTGATAAAAGAACAACATGGATCAAGTAAATGGTTATGAACATGTTCGGTATACTGCCTCTGATTCTAGAAATGAGGGGATTGGCTCTATGAATCAAAGATTTTCCAATGATTCTTCAACTAACGTTAACACCAATGTACGACCTCCTGATTACGGTGTTGCGACCCCTGCTCGACCTGTGCAGAACTACTCCATACAGACTGGTGAAGAGTTTGCTTTTGAGTTTATGCGAGATAGGGTGATTATGAAACCGCAATTCATCCCAAATGTGTACGGTGACTCCAGTGGTATTCCTATGGGGATGGTTCATCCGATGTTGGAGACGGGCTCTAACACCACAATGCTTAACGGAGAAGAAAAATGCCATACTTTTGAGCAAGAGAGGAAACCCTCTTCTAGAACTGAAGATAAAAGCTGTTATGAGCTGGTCCAGTCAGCCCCGGTTATATCTTCAAGAAATGAATCTGGTCAAAGGCTTCATATTTCTTCTAGAGCTTCTGATAGCTCTTTGAATCAGGCAAAATTCTTGTGTAGTTTTGGTGGTAGAATCATACCCCGCCCCAGGGATCAGAAACTTAGATATGTAGGCGGTGAAACGCGTATCATACGGATTAGCAAGACTATATCTTTCCAAGAACTCATGGACAAGATGACAGAAATGTTCGCTGAAGCACGTATTATAAAATATCAGCTGCCAGGCGAGGATCTTGATGCCCTAGTCTCTGTATCTTCTGATGAGGATTTGCAAAATATGTTGGAGGAATGTAATGTGTTTGGTAATGGAGGATCTGAGAAGTCCAGGATGTTCTTGCTTTCAAGCAGTGACTTAAAGGAGGATCAGTTGGGTATGGAAGCTGCAGAGGGTGATTCTGAGGTTCAGTATGTTGTTGCTGTCAATGGGATGGGTCTAAGTTCACGAAAAGGTCCCCTTGGTGTAATTGCTTCAGCGAACAATTTGGATGAACAAGTTGAAGACAGGAATAGGGAGATCAGTCGAGCTATCACAGAACCAGCAGTAGGCTCGGTTACTCCCTTGGCAGGTAATGAATCTTTATCAGCGAGCCAAATTTCTCAACCTGTAACAGATTTTTCTACTGGAAATGAGACTTTTTCACAGCCTTATCTAGGACAGCAGTTCACAGGACTTGGTAACCACCAAGTTTACACGTCAGCTCACATGGCAAGCATAGGCTATATAGATGAGAAGGGGTCTGCTCCTTTACAGGTTCAACCACAGCCACATTATATCCCTTGTTCTGTGAATCCTGGAACATCGCTTGAAAGTGTGGTGGCTCACTACTATCCACATAAGCCTGAGCAAGGAGTTTTGCATGATGAGCAGATCTTTTATGTACAACATCCAGAAACTTCACTAAAAGAAGCCAAAATGAGAAGAGATGACTCATTTAAGAAGGTGAATGATCCTGCTAATGTTTCTACTATCGAGACCAATCTTTCAGCAAAGGAGCCAAATATGAGGAGAGAATCCTCAACTCGGGTTAGTGAGTATTATGTTTCCTCTGTATCTGGTGATTTGATAGTTCCTGATCAAGACCTGAAGAAAGAAGCTCTGGTTGCCACACAGATATCCGATTCAACACCAGATCAGAGCACCTCAGCTTGTCCAGAGAAAAGTCTTAGAAAATCCCAAGACCATGTTGAGAACAATCTTTCAACAAAGGAGCCAAAGCTGAGGAAAGAACACTCCACCACAAGGGTCAGTTCCATATCATCTGTATCTAGTGTTTCTGTGGTCCCAGATCATACTCTCAAGGAAGAAGCTCCTAATTCCATGCAATCGTCCAATTCAACACCAGATCCAAGTTATTTTGTTTATCCCGAAAAAAGAAGTCTTAAAACATCCCAGGAATATGTTACAAAAACGGCTGCCTTAGATACAACATGTGAAGGGAAAATCAATCAGGACAGTCAGTTTTGTCTGCCTGGAGGCTTCTCTGCATCTGTGCTTGTTACTTCAGATGGTGATTCATCTAATGTGAGTAATGTTGACCAGCCTGGGATTCATCAAAGGGTTTTTCATTCTGAGCGCGCACCACCCGATACAGAAGAAGCTAACCGTTTGTCTAAATCTGATGATTCCCTTGGTTCTCATTTTGTAATGGCTAAATCAACTTCAGATCCATTCCTGCCAATCAGCGAATCAGCTGAAACTTTTCATGAAGCAAATATGGAGTCCCAAAATGTTCATTCTAGCGCACCAGTAAGATCAGCTCCTGAAAGTCTCTGGACAGCCGAGGGTAGTATCTCACAGTCTGAAAAAATAAATTTGGAACCTAACGCCACGGAGTACCTAAGTCAGTCAGAGACTTCAGTCAATCCTGTTCCACGAGGACATATTGAGAACGAAGATATAGTTGTTGATATAAATGATAGTTTTCCTCGTGAATTTCTTGCTGATATATTGAAAACGAAAGAGTTTCTAAACTTCCCTGGATTGGGGCCATTGCATACTGATGGAGCTGGAGTGAGTGTAAATGTTCAGAATCTTGACCCTAAAAATTGGTTAGCGCAGGGTGAGTTTGAGAGGAAGGATCTATCTCTGATGGATCAGGATTACCCTGGATTTCCCACTTCCCTGACTAACACCGATGGAGTACCTATTGATTATAGCTACCCACCATTGCAGTCTGCAAAAGTTGCTCCAACTCAATTAAATCCTCAAGTCCATTTTGATGGGAATGTCCAGACGCATGTCTCTACCACTGCCGTAGCTGATTCGAGCACAGTAGATACACAAGAAGATTACGGCCAGCCTCAGTTCAAAGCTGCTGAAAGTACAGATGCAAATGTGGTACGTTTTTTGTTAAAGTTCACTACTGACAAATTCATATCTAAACAAACATTTTCTAATTTCTACTCTTGGATGTGTAGAATACTGGAGTTCCTCTTATTGACCTTATTGCTGAGGACAGTGACAACAGGTCTCTGCAGGTACGCATTTGTCAGTTGATGGCTTAATATATTTACAAGGTGCTGCATTTGCCGCCTTTTTCTTACCAGTTTTCATGTTAACGATTGAGCAATGATAGTGAAGTAAATAGGATCACATCAAGGGTCCTAAATAATTGTTCCGGTAGTTTTGAAAGATAGCTTTCATACAACGAAGAATTACTTTGCAATATAACTTCAAATACCAAAAGGATATTTATATTCTATCAACCTATTTATGACTTTCCAATACATGGTTTAGCTTCTTTTCTGTTTTTTTGGAGTTTTGTAGAATCAGCATAATGTAAGCTGCTTTTAGACTAGATTAGAGTAGTTTATGTCATACTCCCCATTGGCAGCTAAAATAATTGAAGCTGTACAAAATCCGTTTACAATCTTGCTCCTGGTTTTCTCACTGATGATTGTATCCATTCTGTTTCAGGTCATTAAAAATGACGACTTGGAAGAACTTAAGGAACTAGGCTCTGGTACCTTTGGAACTGTTTATCACGGAAAATGGAGGGGTACAGATGTTGCTATCAAGAGAATTAAAAGTAGCTGTTTTATTGGTCGTTCATCTGAGCAAGAGAAACTGGTGAGCTTTCTTTCGCAGTGAGTTGAGGTGTCTTAGGTTTATATATGTACATAAGTACATTTGCCACCCCATGGTTCTCCCAAATTACATTATTTATTTTCTCTAGTGTAAATAGAGTACTGCTGGAAGACACTACTACTATCTGACCCAGCTTTTGGTTGTTTGTTTTTCTTTTGTATGAAGCGGCTATTAGATGCTTGTTATGAGCAAGAAGTTGGCATTAGTTTAATAAGTTTTCAATTTTCACCAACCATTGATTAAAAATTTCAGATCTCGGAGTTCTGGCATGAAGCTGAAATTCTTTCCAAGTTACATCATCCAAATGTTATGGCATTTTACGGCATAGTGAAGGATGGGCCAGGAGGAACTTTAGCTACAGTGACAGAGTACATGGTCAATGGATCGCTTAGACATGTTCTGCTCAGCAACAGGTAAATTATTTACACAGCTCTTCAAAATCCTTGTTTCCTTGGTTGTATACCAGCTCACATTTGGGAGTTACAGGCAGATAGATCGACGTAAGCGACTTATCATTGCAATGGATGCAGCTTTTGGAATGGAATATTTGCACTCAAAGAACGTAGTGCATTTCGATTTGAAGTGTGACAACTTGCTTGTCAACTTAAAGGATCCAGCCCGTCCCATATGCAAGGTGTTTTTCCAGGACAATTAGAGAAAATAATTGATGCAACACTGTCATATTGTTTTGTTTATGTGACAGAGAGATGCTGGTTTATGCAGGTAGGTGATTTTGGTCTGTCAAAGATAAAAAGAAACACTTTGGTTAGTGGCGGTGTAAGGGGAACCCTCCCTTGGATGGCTCCCGAGCTACTTAGTGGCAGCAGCAGCAAAGTTTCTGAAAAGGTATGAAACCCAATGCTCTCCAGTTACTTGTTGGAGGATGAAAACCAAATTGACTACCCTTTTGTACATGTATAATCTCATCACATTTAAATGATTGCAAGTAATGTTTCACACAGGTGGATGTGTTCTCTTTCGGAATCGTCTTGTGGGAAATTCTTACCGGTGAGGAACCCTACGCCAATATGCATTACGGAGCAATCATCGGTAGAAATGACTCTCTCTTCTCTCACTCACTCTCCAATTCTTTACTTACCAAAGGTTTGTACAATTAGAAACAGTACATTCAGTTCCAGATTTACCAGTTTGCTGCTTGTGTGAATAAAAAATGGTAGGAGGCATAGTGAACAACACACTGAGACCAACCGTACCAAGCTACTGTGATCCAGAATGGAGGATGCTGATGGAGCAGTGTTGGGCTCCTGACCCATTTGTTCGACCTTCCTTCTCAGAGATAGCCAGGCGTCTCCGTACCATGTCCTCTGCGGTCCAGACAAAAGCTCACGCCACCACCCACCAAATCCACAAGTAATTCATCTGTTTATACATTGCTGGTGCATATGTGTATATATCGTTTCTGCTTCTTTCAGATTTTAGAGTTTCAAGGTGTGAAAATATTGTTTTGATTTGTACAAGAAACACTAAAAGCACATATCCATATCTTTGTATAGCCATTGTTACTATTATTAAAATTTGTTTTTGGTTCAAGGACTTGGACTCTTCTTCTGTAATCAAGAGTCATCTTTTTTCTTTTCGAGCAATTGTATCATCTTACTCTCCATATACAACATGATAACATTACATTCAAAAAAGATATACACATACAACACATGCATATATCATCCGTGCATATTACATAATATCATTCTTTTTTTATACATAGAAAATCTGACCAACATTCAGAAGACTCTCCTGAGGAACATTGAAGATAACACTATGTTCTCTACAAATCTTCCTCAAAAACGCATACACATAGTCAATAGCTATCTTCTTGTAGAACCTTGCTTGCCTCCTCGCTCTAACCACTGTGTTCCCCATTATATGCACCACTCCAGCATCTCTACACCTATTAATAAACTCCAGCTCATCCACTCCACCGCTCATCTGGCTCGACGCTGTCACCGTGTGGCTCACACGTTTCACCGGAGTTATGGACTCTATAGAGTCAAATGTATCAAAGGTTGCAACATTCTCGTTATTTTCTTTGAACTGATGATTCTGACTTCCACAGATACTATAATCATCTGAATCAGAACAGCCTCCTTCCATCATGGACTCAAGACGGATGAACAAGAAGAGGCTCTCAAAGAGGCGTTTTTCGAAGTCATCGTCTTTCTTGTGTAAGTCTCCATATCCATACCTGTTAACAAATGGCTTCAAGGTTAAGAAACAGAAGAAGAGGACAGGACAGTTTTCACAAGATGTGTTACCTTGCAACACAACGGAACATGTGGAAGTTTTTAGGACCGATTCTTTTAACTAGGAACCGTTCTTCCTCAGGGACGGTGTAAACAGGAAGGTTCTTGACGCATACAAACACCACAACAGAGTGAATAGCCGGTAAGTTTGTAATGAAATGAGAGAAGATATGAGGAACTCCACTAGCTAGCTCAGTGTAGACAAGACCAACACCAGGAACACGAACAAGCCCAAGACTAGGACCAAGTCCAAGAATCCAAGCCATCGAGACTCTACTATGCATCTCAAACTCATACCTCTTCAAAGTTCCATAATGCCACACCGACATGATGAGGAGAAACGCTGCAGCGATAACAAGCGGAACCCAACCGCCTTGGTCCACTTTGAAAAGCATGGCTGAGAAGTAAGTACATTCCACAACAAGTGAGAGAACAGTGAACACAAGAACCAGAACCCAATGGCAACGCCACACGAGGATCATGATCAGCGTCATGAGCAGAGTTGTGACAAGCATGACGATCACAACTGCAGTTCCGTAAGCGTTACCTATCTGACTCTGGTTCTTGAATCCAGCTGTGACTGCAATGCAGAGGATCATTAGGATCCAGTTGATGTCTGGAACGTATATCTGACCAAGAAACTTCCGGGAAGTGTGTACTACTTTGACTCTTGGGAAACAACTGTGTGCTAAAGCTTGCTTGATCAAAGAGAATGTGGCTGATATAGTGGCTTGGCTTGCAACAATGGCTGCAGCTGTTGCAATAATGAACATTGGCCAATACACACTTCCTACAAGATTACAAAAACATAAGTTTTAACTCCAAGCTTCTTCTAACACAGACTAAAGTCAGGTAACTTATCGAAGTATAAACCTGGAATAGACCGGTAAAACGCATCAGCTACATGATCCGGGTGGTTTCTAATGTAGGCAGCTTGTCCACTATAGGCTAAAAGAAGGCAAGGAAACACAATGGCAGTGAAAGCTATTTGAACAGCGGATACAGGAAAGTGTGACAGGTCAGCAAAGAGTGCTTCAATCCCTGACATTTTCAAGAAAATCAAGATTTTAGAATAGTTCAAGAGAAGAGTCAACAGCTTCTTTTCTCTTTTTTTTAATGTTACCTGTTATACTAAGCATGATGCCTCCAAGAGACGTCCAGCGATCTCTACCACCTCTTTTGAAATACCGGTATATATAAACCGGAGAGAAAGCTTTCAAGACGGTGGTATCGTGTTTCCAGATATTGTATATACCGATACTTGCTATGGAGAGAAACCAGAGAAAGACAATGGGAGCGAAAAGCCAACCAACACGGTCTGTTCCGTAGTGTTGTACACTAAACAAGCTGACTAGTATCACAACAGCAACAAGAACAACAACACCTGTAATAGTCACAATAACCACAAACTTATGAGTACTAAGAGACATCAAATATTTTGAATGTATAAATTGGTAATACCATTGCTTATATGAGGAAGGTTTACTCTTAACCCACCAGCAGCTGAGAGAACTGCAAAAGAGTTCAATGCTATTATCAATCATCGTTCCTCGAGAACACAACTTACTTGAAAGGGAAAGTGAGAGTACATACCAGAAATGGCAGGAGTAAGGATACCATCACCAATGACCATACAAGTACCAACAAGAACCAAACCAAGAAGAGCTGTTTTCCTAGATTTCTTGTCTTCTAACCACCTTTTGGTTTTAGCAGCAAAGGAATGCTCATGAAACGTAGAACGGCTATAAGTAGTAAGCTCTTCATCAGTACGGTGCTGGTTCCTTATCGTTTTCACTTTGGCATGTCTACATAGTAATGAATACAGAGCAAAGGTTCCACCTTTCAAAACAAAACAAAAACAAAAACAAAAAACAAGTCAGTACAGTAACAAGAATAACAAACTGAAAAAGGCATAAAGGTTGTGATTTGGCATTACCTTGACCATTATCATTTGCTTTACATACAACAAAGACATATTTGAGGAGAGGGATGAGTGTGAGTGAATAGATAATGAGAGATAAAGCTCCAATGATATCTTCAGGATCTTTGATCCCATGAGGGAATGTATTGTAGAAAACATAGAGTGGAGAAGTCCCTAAATCTCCATACACAACACCAAGGCTCTGAAACGAAAGCTGCAGAAGTAGAAGAGCTGAGAATTTCTGCAATGACCAAATTGAGTTTAGAGACAAAGATTTCAGATTTGGATATGGTTTTTGTTAGATAAAAATAGTAATAATAAAACCTTTTCTTTGTACATGTTCCTAAGCCGACCAGCTTCTTCATCCATAGATTGATCAAGCTTCTGGTCTAAATCCCACATGCTACCTCTCTCATCACTCTCTTCATCAATCTCACCACCCATTGTTGCTGCTTCTACTCTTGCCGCCATTTTTTAATAACTCATAAAAAAAACCCAGTAAAATCTTTATATGTAAGCTTCTCTAAAGCTCAGATCTTTACAACAACAAAAATAAAAGTGGAAAGCTTTTTACAAAGACAAAACAGGTTTTTCAAAAAGACATGAGAGTGCTTAAAGAGGGGAATGTCGTAAGAGCTGCTACTTCTAGCCAGATTGAGAAAAAGAGATGTGATGAACAGTAGAGAAGAAGAAGATCCTGTAAATTAACAAAGAGACAAAGAAGATCAGGAAGATGTAACAATCAAAAAAAGTATCAAAATAAGAATATTCGATATCAATTTTTTCATACAGGAACCAACCACTCAAAATTAAAACTTTCTTCTATCTTTTCAAAACAGAGAGAGAGAGAGACTTAAGAGAAACTCAAGAGAGACAATCAACCACTGGAACAAAGGAAGAAGTTGTCTTTTCGTTAAGAAATAGAATCTCACGTTATGGAGGGTTTTGTAATATGTGGGTCCTGTTTGATTCAGGACCATTGAGTGTGAAGTTACCAGAAGAAAGCTCTCAACTTTCACTAAAATTTGAGAAAAAAAGGCAGAGACTTTGCCTTCTCTCTTTCTCAGCAAAACAGAGAGTAAAGAAGGCAAAGTTAGGTTTCTAGAGAGAGAGAGAGAATATACAGAGATATGTGATTGTGAGTTCTGACAGAGATGAACATGGAGAGAATTAAATAAAAATAATTAACGTAAGTAATCATAGTCCATTAATTTTATAAGTTATTGGAATTATCGAACAACTATTTAATTAATTGGATACGTACTCAGATTGAAAAGTACAATACTTTACGCACGCACACACGTACAAAAAGGACTCTTTACATATAGAAACAATTACACTGAGAGGCAGTTTATAAGTTTTAATGACACAATAAGGCAGTTTCAGCTACTCACACACTTTTATCTAACTAAATCTCTTTTTCATTCAAAAACTAACTAAATAACGTTTGACAGCTAATACACAGTACGTTAGCTAAAATAAAGTGGGACCATGTAACCTTCTTCTTCCTCTCTCTTTACAGTTTTCTATATTTTTTTGTAATGGAATCTACTGCTTCCAAATTCATTTTTCCAGACAAATTATCTTTAATCATTGTTTCTTATTTTTTTAGCTATCTTTTGAGATATATTAAGATATATGGTTGATAGTGGTGTAGTGATGACATATTCGACAGTATCATTAACGGTAGAGATGTCGGCGACTCTCATCTTTGGGCTACTAAAAATATCTTCCTATCACTCTGACTCGTTATTCTCAACATCGTTACCTCTCCAATAACTATCGCAACAAGTTCCAGACATCAATGGCCACTTTTGGCTCCAGACATCAGAAACAAAAAAAAAACAGTTTTGTTCAAATTTTTGAGTGTAAAACTATGAATTAAGATTGAAATCTATTAGATCTGAACAAAGTACATAAAAATAAGTGAAAGTGTAAAGAATCATGAAAAATAAGTGAAAGAGGAGGAATTAGGTTTTCTGGTCGACAGTGACCAAGAAAGAAGACAAGGTTATTTTCGTAATTTTATTAATGAAAAAATAAATAAAAAATTTGTGTGTACACTATCATATTTAACGTACACATGTACACCTCATTATTACACATTTACGCTATTATATTGTATCATACACACGCAATGTGAAGATTAAAATGACAATGATAATGGCGAGGATGTTGATGGTGGTGCTGGTAAATTGAGTATCTGATATGTTAGATATATTATCAAGCTTGCTAATTTCTTTTTTTTTTGTCGTGTGCATCTTCTGAACTTATATAATGCAAATTT